GTACTCTACACTTGCCTTAGAAATCCTTTTATGATTTAATGTTGCACATGAGCCAGCTTCCATGCTAGTCTCACAACAAATAGTGAACAAGAGTAATATTGCTGGTGGAAAGCTCTTTTGTTTTTTCACAGAGGTTGAACTTGACAGCTGTGAACTAGAGCGGGACAATTAATCAGTAGGTAGCCAAAAATTGTGAGAACAGCATGTTCAACATGTCATGACTTTATGAATAGCTACATTAATGTGGCTTAACCAAATCCGTAAGAACAACGAACTGTTGAAATTTATATTTACAGACATAACTGTCAGAGCTTTGTGAATAATCAAGTTTCTACTTTGGGGTCTATGGAAAGAAATTGAAAACATTTTGCTTAGGCCATTTTTCATAAGGTCTAAATGCAATGCCATCTACATTAAGCCAAATGTTGCTCCTTTCTAGAGAAAGAAAAATATCAGATAGAGTTTGGTTATTTTTACCCCCTTCTAATCTTTTCCTTAAATTTCTCTTTATAAGTCATTCTTGAAATAAGACAGTTTGACTTTTCCACAATACAAAACTGAAAAGCATGACACTAACATTAGTTCTAACCATCAGTTAGTCACCATCTTCCAATAGCAACTGAAATTTGGTTAGGCAAAATCTTCTTTTTTTTTTTTTTTTTTTTTTTTTTTATGGAGAAGTAATTATGGAGAAGTAATTATGGAGAAGTAATTTGTACTTTCCACCTGACATATTTAAGAAATCAAGATTTCACACATAGTTCTAGACTATTACCCTTTTCAATTTGAAGTGTTTCCACTGTGTAACTATGTTCTCTGGATAAGCCAGCTGGATAAACCAGGATAAGCCAACCAGGTCAAAGGCATACTGTATAGATTCTGGGGTGAAAAGCCTATAAAACATAATGGAACCAGTTAAAACCATTGCACCAGAGAGAATGAATGCAGGGCAGTCTAGCTCACCTGAAGTTAATAGAGTTATGGCCTAAACTTTGTTGCCTGTATGCATCTGCATTTTCCCATATTTTCATTTCTATTTATTCTCAGGTAAAGTCTGCTTCACCAACAGGAAACCTGTATGAAATCCCAACTCCATTTCTCCACAGAAACATATTGTGACACTCACAAGATTTGTATACTGGAATAAAGGAAGACTTTTCCACTTAGAGAAAATCAAACACAAGTAATTTCATTCAGATAAATCATATTAAACCAGAACAGTGTGATCTTGTAATTTAAGAACTAGATGAAATAGTTCTATAGAACTCAGAAGACATATGGAATTCCCAAAATATCACCTTCTGTTAATAATTAAAGACATATGTTTATTAAACTACATAATTACAAAAAAAATCAGTATTTTGATGTAAATTAATCATTTCCATTCTGAACATTCCCAAGGAAAAAGAAAAAACAGCAACATATATGTATGTGTCTTCATGTACATACATAAAAAAAAAAAGAAAGTATCAGTCTCCACTCTCTTCTCATAATTTTTTCTTGTACTTTTTCTGCTGGTATGGCATAAAGATACTTCATATCTTAAACAAAACTTAAAGGTGAAGTAATTTACTAAATCTTTCCTTTTTCTGTTGGGCAGAATTATAACAGTCTAAAATTGTATTTAATGAACAAGTAGAAAAGACAAAAATCTGAAATAACTCAAATATGACGGATGAACATCCATAGCAACAGATAACTTATATGAAAATTGAGATTTCATTTACATATGCATCTTTCTAGTAAATTCAGACGCAAAGAAATTCTCCAGTATTTTAGAGGCACTTGGCAGGCATAAAGCTTTTGACTTTGACAAGCTTTTCCAGCTTGTAACTGGAATCCAGAATTTTAGAAGCTGTTTACCATCTCCAAAAATGGGAAACAGCAGATCTAGCTATGCATCACCACTGACTGGACCGTTAGATACCTACAGCAAGAAACCATTCCTGACAGCTTTCCAAAACACCTTTGACTATTCATACCTGGCCTTGCCCTCCTTGCAGCTGTCAGGGAGGTTGCAGTCCCCCATGAGCACAGGCTTTGTAATTCAGAAACGTCTTTGACTTTTTTGAAGAGTTTATTTGTGTCTTTATCAGGCAGTCTACAAGAAAACTCTCACCACAAGGTCATTCCTCCTGGCCTCTCCTCTGACCCTGAGCCACAAACTCTCAGTCAGACTGTCACCATCTCACAGGGGAGCTCTATAGACCTGAGGGAAATGCCCATCCACCCTTCCTGGCCTGTCGTCCCTACAGAGCTTGCATTGGCCCTTCACAACTCTCCAGTTGTTCAAACTGGTCACTGTATCTTAGTTATTCCAATTATGTACTTTTGTGATTATAAAGAGCTTTAGTTTCTCCTGCTTGTTTCCCAAGATATGTGTATTCATGTACAAACACTTGACATGGGTGTCCCTTTGTCCTGTTTTAGCATTCCTGACGTCTCCTGCTCCCATCACTCTGAACTTTCTATCCTAAATGCCACTTTACTGTCATCTCCTATGCCTACCACTCCTATTTTAAAGTCTTCCTCACCAGATTGGCCAGCTTGTTGTATAGAAGAAATAACACCTGGGCCCCCATGACCTCAAAATTCTCCCTAGAGAATTCCAGGTCTCCCTGGCAGTATTACTGGAGCCCATGTGAGTGAGCAGGAAGGAACGGCAGTCCAAGTCAGCAATCCCTTTGCAACATCCTAGATCCAAGCCCACAGCAAGCCACAAGCCTCTTTAGGAAGAAAATGGGGAACATGGAGATTTTTATTTCCACAGGAGGGAGCCTCCCGCTACTATCACTCCAGGTGTTAATTCATGGTGCAGGTTCAAGCCAGCTCTGATGCCTTCCAGATACATTTTTCTCCTACTCTGCGACCAAGCCACTGTCCCTACTCCACAATTATAAATCCACAAAAGGAGAAGGAGCTACCCTAATATTGCTGAAGGTCACAAGCTTCCAGTCTTCTCCATATAAGAAATTCCATTTATTCACTCAATTGACTGCCGTCTCTGGCTGCCTCCTCCTGCTGTGTTTCCAAGCTTTCATTTCCTTACCATCCCTGTGAAGATCCTGTTAATCTTTCTTTGCCTTCCTGGACAATGAGCAGTCTGCTCACCTCCTTCTGCAGCTCTGCAATGGGGGAGCACAGCATCTAAATAGCAGCACAGCATGCTGCTCACCAGCAAGGTCACTGCCTCCTTGGCCAACCCTGATGGGTTGCCTGTGCCTCACTAAAACTTGGGTTACAGCTGCCCCCGGGTATACCTCTCCAGCTCTGGTTGTCCCTGTCCAGCAGGAGGTGCAGGCAGTGGCAGCTGTCCCATGCTGGAGTTCTGTCCCTCACTCAGAGTGGAGATCTAACAGAGTCAGCAGAAGGACCCCGCTACTATGGTGATAAGCCGCTAAGCAGTGCAAGTCATTGGTGTTTTAGAGATGCTGGGCACAAGTAGATTGTGTTGTCCATCCTGCCTGGTCAGGCATGCCAAGCCTCTGTGATCAGCAAACAATTTGGGGAAGAAAAGGAGCAGCAGCGGATAAGCAGGTCAGGGATTATTGGGAGAACTCAACCTGTGCAAGTCCCCAGACTTTCAAAGAGTGCATCCTCAGTCTTGAAAAAACAATCCTTGCAAAGTCATTCTCTCTATCAACTTTGAAAGTGAACAGGGGAGGTCCCTGACAGCTGGAGAAAGGCAAATGTTGTGACTAGCTATAAAAAACACTGAAATTATGATTAAGAGAACCACAGGCTGGTCAGCCTCAATTTGGTCCATGAAGAAGAAGATAATTACAAAAGAGTCAGCATACATTTGCCAACAATAAATCATGCCTGATCAACCTGATTTCCTTCTGCATTAAAATGCCAGGATGAAAGGAGAGCAGTGAACATATTTTTTTCTTGATTTTGGTGAGCCTTTCTCCCACAATACTCATGCAGTCATTACAGTATGAATGTGTGAAAAATTAGATGTTTTAAAAAAATGAGTAACTTAGATCAGAGGGTTATGTTTAGTGGGTAATACACTCACGTAGAGTCTGGTAGATTGTACTGGGGATCAATATCTAGCGGAGTACCAGAGAGATCCCTCCTGGGACTTTTTTTTGTTTAATGTCTTTATCACTGACCTAGAGATGGGGACCAAGTGCCTGCTTTGGTTTTAAGATGACATCAAACTGGACACAACAGTCAATGTACTTGAGGGCAAGTCTGATATCCAGAGGGATGCCAAGACAGGCTTGAAGAAGGATGATAAAGAACCTTACACAATTCCGCAATGACAAAGTCCAGAGCCTGAAGAGTCCCTTGCAACAACAGATGCTGGGAACTGACTAGCAAGGGAACAGCTCTGCTGGAAAGACCTTGGGGTCCTGGGAAGCAGTGAGTTGAGCTTCAGCCAGCATGCAGTAAACCAGACCAACATCATCTCAAGCTGTTTTCATAGGAACAGAGCCGAAAGACTGATGAAAGGGATTGTTTCCATCTCCTCAATACTTGGAGCACTTGCTCTGTCAGAAGAGGCTGAGGGACAAAGGATTGTTCAGCCCGAGACTGCCTTAGGGGCACCTAAGAGCAGCTCCCAGTAGGAGTTAACAAGGAGGATATTTCATAACAGTGCAAGCTGGCAGGATAACAACAGATAGACAACAGGCATAGGTTGGAACAGGAGAGGTAGATACATGGAAACTGGGTATATGGAAAACCTTTCTTTTTTTTCACCATCAAAAAAGACAAGAGTAGAGCATATTGCTCAGAGAGAATTTGTCCAATTTCTGTTCTTGGAGAAGACCTGACTGGATAACAGCCTTGAATGACTTGAACGACTTGAACATGACCTCCTGCTTTGAGCAGGAGATTGTACTATGCACCTCCTGAGATACCTTCCAAACTGAAAGATCCTATTATACTATTTACAAAAAAACTTAGCCTGCATAACTCAAAGCAAACATGGGCTTTACCATTTTCCTGAATGCTTGGTAAGTTTTTATTCTTAGTTACACAAAGGCATTTCATGTGTTAACAAGGTATTGCCAACATACCTGTTTCAGACTTTCCAGTTTGGATTGTTTTAGTTGTTCATATTTCCATTTCCAAACAGATAAATCATTTTCCATTTTTTCCACCTCTTTTTCTAGAAACACATTCATTCTAAAAAAAAAAAACAAAAACAAAAACAATCATTGGTTTTATACATTTTATTAATGATGGCGTTTTTGTAGATATTGACAGATAAATAATTCTGAATTTCCTTTTCACAACTTCAATTCTGTTTTGCTACAGATATAATCTGTATATCTTTTTATTAAGTAAAAGCCTACATGATAACACTATCCCAAAAGTTTTACCMAAAAAAAACCTGAATAGAATAAAGAAATTCAGTAGTATAGGATAAACTTAAAATGAGGGGCTGAAATGAAGAAAATATGAAAATGGACGTCAGCCAGTTACTAATTTAGGTAGCCTTGTACATAGTGAGAATAGCAGAGATCCTCAGAGAAAAAAAAGTGCAAAATCACCTTTTTCTGGGCTTGTTTGATCATATACACATATGAGAAACTACATGTACTTTACTATATAGGCAGTACTGATCAAATAAGATCTATTTTGGATATGAGAAAAAATTTAAATGTGTATATATTCTCTTACCAATTCAAAAAATAATTATTCCTCAAGGAAAATGCTTGAAATGCTTTAGAGAAGTGGACTATTGAGATCAGAAGTACTATAGAATCATAAAAGTGACAATTTCAAGTATTTGCCTCTGGAACATCCTAGGAACAGAAAGTCCACTACTGTGTTCAGGGATGTATTTAGAATATAGAATTCATGAAGAATGAGGGATGACTCCTTAGGGAGAGGAACTATATTACTGTATCATTGAAAAATAAAGTTAGATTTTGCATCTCTTAAAGCAACAAAAACATTTTCAACTGTTCAGGAAAGAATGAAAAAATTACAAAGCAAAGGAAGTACCATGTATTTCTTTTTGTTTCTTTTTGAGACAAATTAAAAACTGATTTTTGTGTTTTCAGCATACACTGTTAGCCAAGTTCCAAGGATAAGAATGAAATTTTCCTAATTTTTCCCCCCACTGTTATGATTTAATTTCACATTTGTGTAATGTGTATGTAGTATTTCACAATCAAGTAACAAAACAGAATTGTAACCATAATTAAAAAAAGAAAGAAAAAGTAATTTTAATTACAATAAAGCCTTCCAAATAATTGTTCTAATGCTTGCATGAAATTAGATCACAGTGTAAAATCCCTGAATGTTCTATTGACTAAAATAGGAAATAAAATAGGAAAAGATCATTTTTCCAGTAAAACTACAGAACTATGTATATGTTGGGAGATTAAAATTTTACATTTTATAAATTCTCTGAAACTAAGGGGATGAAGGGATAGTAGACTAGAAAAGACAAAAATATCAGATCCATTGAAAACATAAAAAAAAGTCTAACACTGGCAGGAAAAAAACTGTATGCCACAGATGTTAGACTAAAACAATTTCTCAGTCTTTTGCAGGAGAGTATTATTGCCAGGTTGACTAGAACCGTATTTTAAGATTCTTTTTTTTTTTTAATTCACAATGATATTGTTAACTTTAAGAAATTAAACCAAAGGGTTTAAGACTTGTAAGACTTGTCTCTGGGACATGCCTATGCAGCATACAGCAGGCTTGTGCAGAGATACTAGATTAACCACTGAGTGAACTGGCACAATTCCTGGACCCAAAGTTAACTACACTAATGAAGTAATCCACTTGAGTGAAATTTCTTTTTATCCCTTCTTTTACAATTAAACCAATGCTCTTTAATCAGGGATTTTTTATTTCTGCATTTATGTAGCACATACCACAGTATCTCAATGGGAACCTATGGTTCCCATAGCATAGCAGTAATAAAATAAACATGGAACAAAATAAACTCCATTACTGAGTAAGCAAAAAGTAGAGCAAGATAACTTCTATCATGTGTCGAGAACCTAACATATACATTATAAATGATTTTTTTTTTCTTCTAAAAATAATGAGGTTTCTTAGAGGAAAGGCTTTATGACTTTACTGGGAAAACAGAATCACAGAATCACAGAATGGTTAAGGTTGGAAGGGACCTCTAGAGATCATCTAGTCCMTGTAGATTTTGAGTTCTTTTTTTTTTTTTTTTTCTTTTTTCTTAAGGCTTCTCTTTTTTGTGTGTGTGTGTGTGTAGTGAATTCTAGTGCTTAGCTTAATATGTTTTGGTATTACTGAAGAAAAGTCCGAACTGTGGCTCTGCATGAGCTACCTCGAGCCTGGAAAGATTGTAGCTACAATTCTGAGGTACTGTATGCAAAGCAATAAGCTCTGGGGAGAGGTCCTGCACAGAGTGAGCAAATCATACTGACTGCCAAGGTAACCTTTGGCCTAGGAGTTCAAGCTGTCTGAAGTCTAAGTTTGCTTTTGATGCAGCACAGCTGTGTGTCCTTGGCTCAAGTTTACTGAGAAAATTGCTAAGTTGTGAGAAGGAAGCTGTGGGAACATACGTAGGCAGGAGTCATGCAAGATAAGAAAACTAAAAATGCAAACAGAGGTGAGATTGTTGTGATAGTGGTTATTAGCGGCTTCAGGATTCAGGAGCAAAAATACTGATGTGAGCAAATATAAAACCCTAAGAGAAAAACTACGTGTTAGAAGATGTTGACTCAGCAGAATCCCAGCCCATTCTCATATGCAGTGCAGATCGTCGCTTTTGGAGCTGGCTGACGATGTTTGCCTGGCCAGCAAAGACTCACAGGGTGTCTCACGGCAAAAGTGACTGTGCTCATGCTTATCCTACTAACACTTTTTTCTAGCTATCTGTGCGCTGCCAAAAAGATTTGCTTCATACTCTTTAAGTTGTGCATATTCTGCTTACAGAATGTTTTCTCTTTGTGCACAGGAAATGTTGCCCAAATGAAATGACCTAAAGAGGGAGTCGTTACACCAAGGCCCACATTTATGTGAAAATCTCTGCTCTGCGTGGATTTACTGGTTGGCACTGCCATATTGTAGAAATGTCGTTGTTATTATACATTTCAGTAAAGTTATTATATATACCATGATGTACAACAGTCAGTATGTAAATAAGCAGAAGTATCTCAAGGTCCCAAAGAATGGATATGTGTAACTGTCATGAAATACTATGGCAAGCTTGAAAATTTAGGTATTCTGGTATTTTTGCTTCTACAAAAAAACCTAAGATTTTAGTAGATAGAACATATTTAGGTCATCTGCTGCAATATAATTCAAATACAGAGTTACTGCATATTTTCTATAGCTCTCTAATCTATATAACACAAAATAGTAAATACTAGCTAGGAATTTAAAGGGTTTTTTTTGCTTTACACTTTTGCTATCTATGGGACATTCTGGAAAAAAACAAACAAACTGACAGCAAAAATGCTTCATTACACATTATATTTACAGACTTTCTGAAATAAAACTATTGTATGTATTTGCAATACCTGAATTGTCTTACTACCTGAATTCTCTTACTACCTCATACACCACATAATGTCTATTTCCTTGAAAAGTTTTCTGTTGTGATTCAGCCTTGCTTTGTACTGATTGTATACAGGAAAGATAAAATAATTCCTGCCCATGGAGAGACTGATATCTTAGCATATATCATCGAATCAACATGTTACTTCTCTTAGGTCACCGAATACTTTATGAGTTAAATTGGATTAATATTGTATAATAGGTGTGATCCTCCAGCTTTAAGTTATCTACTTTTAATACAAAGTTTTATAATTGATTAGATAATAGGTTAATATTTTTGACATTCTGCAGCTGCATTCCTTCACTTTTCATTCAAAAATGCCCTTAAACATTTTGCAGCTATACTTTTTACCACCATAGGGTCTATGAAATTTAATATTACATACAAGGCACTCCAGTAAGTATACCAAAGATCAGATATTATTGTACTAATATCAAAGAGTTATCAAGTGTCTTCTGTTAATTGACTGTACATTCTTACTTAGCTGTTCTTAACATCCTTATCTATATATGGAGGGCTTCTTTAACAGATGACAAAACATACCAAGAAAAACAAAAAACACATACACGTGATTGTGTGAATGTGATGTTTTCTTATAAATTACCTTAAAAATGCCTTGTTAATGGCAAATAATATTAGAAATATCTAAGCAAATATATGAGCTGTAAATGCAAAACATGTAACATATCTATTTTATAAAATGTCTTAAAAATCTTTATTTTTAATAGTGATTTCTCCAGGGAGGATGTATTGGCACTTACTCTCTTTCCTTCTGTAAGATTTTCTGCAACTCTGCCAAATGCAAATGGAAGACAGAAACATGTATTAAATCATTTTCCGACGTCTTAGCTATATTGCCCAGCAATTCTTTAGGTTCCTCCAAGTAAATCCTGGAAACTTCTTTGTAAAAAGAATCATTAGGCTTTGGAGTTATTTTTTTATTTTGATTGCTTCTTAAAACTTCTTTGACTACCTCTGCCTCCTGAGAAAAGAGAAAAATATGACATCTAAGAAAAGCATAAATGAAGGGGAAAAGTCTGTAAGGTCTATCATGGCTCTTTGAAACACTTAAGTCATGCAGCAGAAAAAAAAAGAAACAAAAGGTATTAAGTAATTTTATGTACTTGCATAGAATGAAGTGGCATCTATAATCCTACTGACTGAAAAAAAAAAAAAAAAAGCAAACTATTTAATTTGGAGTGATCACTATTGCTCTATCAGACATATGAAAAGAGTGCCTCTCAATTGGCCTAATGTGAAGTCAAAAAACAACTTCTCTAGGGTCTTGGAAAGAAACTCAAGAGTCTTTTAAGAGTCCTCTACTAACACCACTCACACCCCATGCTGTAGCAAGGTCTATATTCGAAAATATTTCTAATGCATATTTCTGAAACAAACAGATTCCAGGCATAATATGGTTAGATAGATCCAAAGAAATAAACAAAAGCAACAGTGAAATTTGTATAAACTTTAAGAAATCTCTAGATAAAAACTTTAAAAATAAATCTTCAAAAATTCTCAGCATATAGTCTAAATCATGCTGAAATCACTTAAACAAGTTTTCTATAAGGATCAAAATTCTCTACTTAAGCATATGAACCATAAAAAAAAAATTCTTTTAAAATAAATGACATTCTAATTATTAGGAAGACTGAACATCATAAACAATAATCACTTTTAGAAATATAGTTATGTTTTATCACAGCTGGGTGATCATATTAAGTTTTAAAAGTATTTTTATTATAGCATGTTATCAACATATTTTCATATCTCTCTTCTAAGTTTTTAGAACAATGCCTCCAATATGCAACAAAAGAGTAAAATCCAAAGAAAAAAAAACTACTTTACATTCATATATTTTTAAAGAGAATCTTTCTAAAAATAAGGATTGATATGGTGTTTTTCTTTTTATTCAGTACAAAGTACAAGAAGGATATTTGTATTTACAGTATTTTGTTAAAGATATTTTTGCCAAATTTATTCTCAAATGCTGGTACTACTTTTTTTCCAGAATTCACAAGAACATAGTGTGACTTCCAGAACTCCTAAGAATATAAGAATAAAATGTGCCTCAGAGAGATAGTGAAAATTCTGAATATGAAGCTTAAGACCCTTCAAGCTTAAGACCCTGAGAATTCTCATTCAGCTAAAGGCAAGCTGAATTTTCTGAATTTCTAGAGACTATTTCCTGACAGATAAATAGGAAAATAGTTTCTAGATGATGCTATTTATAATGGCTAAACAATACATGTCAAAGCACAGAACTAAAAGTGGTAAAATGAGAATATTTTTATTTTGATGAAGATAACTGTACTTTGTGTAAAGCTAAGAATGGTATTAAACCTTGTCCATACTTGATTATTAACTATAGTAAAATAATTTAATTGCTCTATTTGCCAAATAAAAATCTGTACTTCACAGAAGAATTTACTTCTACTCTCATTTCAGAAACTGCATTAAGGGAAAATTAAAGATTTTTTTAAACCTCAGGAACCTATTGCTTTTCTGGAGATGGAGTGATAAAAGTACAGAAGATATGGAGAATTCAGATTACAGTGGTATTCTGCTAGGTTAAACATGAAGAATAACAATTAGAATAATAATGTAAATCACTGGAGATAACAAGTTTAATGTTGAAGTGTTTTAAATGTTTATTCACAGTTGAGTAGTATGACTTGTTTTCCGTGTTTCTCTGTATTAGAATCATTATAAGTTTCTTGTTGTTGTTTTTGTGATACCATATTGTATTTTGGTTAAAATCCTTGAAAATTTCCACTCTAGATACACATCCATAATCTCCTTCTTCTCCATGAACTAGAAGTCCCCATTCTTTACCTTCTTTGTGTCTTCTGTCACCAGAATCTCATCCGTCTCACTGATATCTTTCATGGGCTCTTCTTCCACAGACACTACCTCATTTAGGTCTTCTTTTACATACAGTGTTCCTGAAAAATTGGTTTCTTTTTTCCAGGAAATTATATTTTTTAAGTTCTTCTCACTCACTAAATTTTGGTTTATCTTTTTAAGTGTACTCAGCTCTTTCACAACAATTTCTAACTTGATTCTTAATTGTCTTGCTTCCTCTCGAGCTTTATTTCTTTCTGCTCTAACTTTGCTCCATTTCTCCCTCCAGTTAGCAGTACAATCTGACCACCAGCGCATGGTCTTCTCCATCTGGGCAGCTCTTGCTTTGACTTCCTCCAGTTCCCGAATTCTTATTGCTTCATAAATTTCCCAATTGCTGCTGTTATTTGTGTATACACATGGATAATGAGATGAATATGGCTGGAAACTTTGAGATAGGAGATTTGAATTACATGGATTGCTAGCTGGCTGGCTACTGCCAGATAATTTATAGGGCTGTCTTGGCTGGGTCCTTAAAATCTGTGTCTCTTCAGTTAGGTTTTGATCAGAGCCAAGATTCATCTTTCAGTTCTTAATCTAATTTCACTCCTAGAAAAGGCAAAGAAAATTAATTTAGTTTCCTCAGTTAAACTGTGTTATATAAATAGGCTCAAACGGTGGTTTATTATACTGTTATAATAATGGTATAGTATTATTAATAATGTTAGGTGTTTCAGAAATACACTTCATTGGTGAGAAATACATATTAAGATATATTTTACGCAATAAGCACATAAGCACAAACAGATACAATTATTTATTGATCAGGAATTACTAGCAAGGGTAATGCCATCACCCATCGAATGTGCTTGCAAAGTTCTTTGAGACTAGAGGAACAAGGCAAGACCTTCAGACCTTTCTTCTAGACAAAACTGAATTGAATCATTTTAAAAGGCTAGTAAGAGAAAGCATTTATTTAGAACTGAAGACACAGACACATTCACATTCACATTCCAAAATTATGGAGCTTGATACCAGGAAAAGTTACCTTATAATCCATCCTTTGGAGTTTGTGTGTATTTCACATGAAAAAATCAAAAACAAAACAAAACAAAAAAAAAAAAAATGACACGGGGACAGGCTGCACAGACCAACCACTTACACCTTTTCTTTTTTTTTTTTTTTTTTGTTTATTTCCTTTTGGTATCTTTAAATATATATATAAATATATATATAATATCTATATTATATCTTCTGCAGAATCTTCTGCAGAAGACTATGTGGATAAAAGTAAATGTAATTGCTGTAATTGCTTCAAAGGAYCAACATGCAGCTTTAAAATAAATATGTTTATATTTTATGGTAATAAGTGTTAATACCTGTTGTTGAAATGTAGAAAGCCAATAAAATAAATCAAATACCAAAGAGTATATTTGGCATTGTGATACATTCCCCTTTTATTTACTGATAGCTGAATAGAAAGTTTATCAGTTCTAAGCTTCCCATCAGACACAGCAGACATTTTGCCCAGCTTTTTCCAACTTGTCAGTGTTTTCCAGGACACCTATTTGCTGCTCTTTACAGGCTTCTGGAGCACTGTTATGGTCAAGTATAGGTATGAGAGAAGGAAAAAGACCAAAGTGACCTCTAACCCCTTTCATCACTGCTGCCCGGTGCAGCACATCACCACAACACCAGCACACAGATGCTGCACAGCTGCTGCCAAAGCTCCAGCAAGGCTGACGCTTTTCCTAGCCGCCTGAACTACTTCCAGGACTTTCATTTAAACGAAAATAATCCAAAGCACAGAAGCATTCCCAACCTTGATTTTGAATGAGGCTTATTAATCACTGAATGCTAAATTCCCACGTAGGCTGTCACTTAAATGTTTGGTTTGTGGTAATACCCTTCTTCTCTAATAATAATAATAATAAAAAAAATCWGTAACATGTTTATATGGTGCAATAGGTGAATTTCAAACAGYAAAATATCTTCTTCCTACAATCTATGCTTCTATCCAAAACAAAGACAGTAGACAGGCATATTTTGTAGATTTTTCTAGTTGCTTTGTATATGCATTGAGGGCAGGCAGACCCTTGCAAAGTACACAGTTTACAAATATTTAAAGATCTGTGAAGTCCAAGAAAAAAAAAAAACAGGACGGAAGTAATTTGTGTTGGCTGAAACTTCAGAAGACCTTAGAAGAGAACAAAATCTTCATGTAACACAAGAGTCTGTTGCAGTAGTTGCATCACTGCTTTAAGCCAATGTAGCCACAAGGTTCTGCCAGAGAGAGTGGTCTCCYCACTGCCATGAACCCCTGCCCCTCCTCCTGTTGTAACTTGAGTAGTCTTGAGTGTAGAGCACTGCCAGTTAGATCAGACTTGTCAGTCCAGCTTAAAGCAGGTTATATTTGAAATAGGGTTTACTATACTCCTAGTTTTCAAGCTTATTTTGAAATTATGACTATTGGTAGTTCTACAGAGTCATTTCTTCCATATGACAAACCTTACATGCTCAGTGATTTCAGTTGCAGCTTTCAAATTGTACATCTCTCACAATTTTAAATTCTGAAATATTTACTAAAATTGTGTTTTAAAATAATAGCTTAGAGAGTTGAGTTATCTTGGTTTACTGAATTATATTGTGACCAAGACTTACTATGGACTAGATATGTAATGCAGTGGGCAAGATACTTATATTATGTTTGCAGTTTGTTTTTAATTTATTATTAAATTAAATTATGAAACTTTATTATGAAACTTTCTACAGTGGCCTCATTCTACTACATAAATGCTGATATTGTTGCCCTTATGAAGGCTCTACTCCTATTCCTTTTTTATCTTTATTGAAAAAAAATGTTAAAAATGTGATCATGCTTTTCATAGCTAAAAAAATAATACAATACAATGCAATAAATAAAATAAAAATAAGATGACTAAAAATTATGCAGTTCAGTGACAACTGAACTGAAAACAGTGACAACAACTGAAAAGGTAAATTTAGACGCTGGACATTACACTGAAATTATCTTAAAATAGCTAAATACTCAGTTTTCAGTATGATTAACTTCTAGGGGGGGAAAAATAATAAAATAGTACAGAGAAATGTTAAGCTCTGTTATTCCATTCTGATTTAGATGAGTATGTATGTATTTTTGATTAAATATATGAGCATGATGTAAAATTTTTATTGCCCAGAGCACCTTTTCAACATCCAGTTAAATACCATTAATGATTTTACTCATGGAGAAARAATATTGTTTTCAACTCAGTAAACTAAACATCCTAGAAAAACTGTACTGTACTGAAAAGTTTTGACAGAAACTCTAACTGCATAACTGCTTGATTCTTTCAATTGGCAGCTAGTGCAATTTACTGAAGAAAAGCTTTCATACCCTTGAAGTTGTATTTATACTGGTTAAAATATAGGTTTAACTGATACATAAACATGAATAATCTCAAACATTGATGAAATAGTTACAATAACTTAATGACAAGAACAACTGATTGTGATATCAGTTGCCAGTTTGATAGAGGTAAGCCCAATAGCAAATCATTACTGTATGCCTATGTTTCTCTATCTAAAAAATAAGGATAGCATGCTGTTTGAAACAGACAATAAAGGCACTGCCTGAAGAATTAAATGTTTTACTGCTAGTTGTGCATTTCTTTTCAAATAGAGATAATGTTCCAAAAGGTCAAGACCAAAGCCCCTCAATCCATATTTGTTCTTTTGGCAATACAGATTTGAAATATCTTGCTGTTTCTGTATGTGGAAACACCTATAAGCTTCTTCTGGAGAAGTACTAGACTTGCACCTTGTTATATACACACACACACAAAAAAAAGGTAGCTTTCACTGCTTGGAATTAAATTGTCTCTTTGTGTCTGTTTGCACGCAATGTGGACAACCAAATATCCCTGAAGCTCAGAAGAAATGGTACAGACAAATTCTTACAAATTATTTCCTCCTTGAGAATTCTCTCAGATAATCGAGCTTAGAAGATCCATCACTGACTAAAAACAAAAGAAGTTTAAAAGAAGTCCTTTTCTCTTTTTTTTTTGGAGTCTTTGGGAGTAATTTTTGGTTTACTGAGTGAGGTATAGTAAGAGTGCAATTAATAAATACCTTATAATTTTACATTGGATCTAATGCAAGAGACAACATGATGATAAAGAATATGTGAAGCATGATTCATTACTCATATTTCATTAAATGAATTATAACACCAAATGAAGTGAATTACACTAACATTTTTAGCTCATAGAATTTACAATTAATTTTACTCTTAAACATCCACAGATCTTTCAGATACAGTCCTGGCTTCAATGAAGGAAAGGGTATCTCACCACTGACCACCAGTCAGCCGTAGGAAGCCTCCTGGATTTTCTGCTTTGCCCAATTGTTGCACATTTGTGACCAAGGTAGTCAGGTAGCACAAATCCACACTGCTGAAGTAAAGACAGTCTCTCCTTTCCCACACATGCATCTACATGTTCTTCACTAGTTAGTTTTTCCTTTTAATATCACTAATGAAGTAACCAGATTCAACAGATATAACTTCCCCCACCAAACATTTTTCAGCTTAATCGCTGCCATCTTGTATTTCACTAGTGGCTGCATGAAACCTAGTTTTACCATAAACCATGAGATGGAAATTAGGATGAAAGGGAAGAGGATAATTTGGTAGCCTCACCAAATTATATTCAATTTACACAATATGTAGAATTATGCAAGTAATAACCAGGGTTAATGAAATTACAGGCAGTAAGAAGATAACTACTCTCATATGAACAAGACTACATATGAAAAAAATCTATACATACAAGAATATCTTTTAAAACAAGTATGATTTTTGTTAGAATATTATAAGGAACYAAAATAGAAGAGAATGCATTTCAGCGATTACTAGAGCAGATTTCTCTTCCTATGAACAAAAGGCATGGAGGGGATTAATTTTTCAGCTAAAGTGAGTATTTGGCTGAAAACTTACTTTCTTGGAAACCACTGTGGTATATCATGCTGTTCCACTATGGAAACTCTAGTTGGGAAAGACAGTCTGTAAGACATTATGTAAAGACATTGTCTAACACTTTTTTTTCATGTTTTCCAGAAAAATTAGACCTTTTCACATCGATATTCTATGTAGATATTTCTCACAAAATGTTCATTTAATCAGAAGAAAACTTACTTCCCAGAAGCTTTAAAAGGGTGTAATTCCTATGTAACTGGTTTAATATCCATACTACGTAGAGTAACGTAGATAAAAATGACAAGAATTCTATTTCAACTGTGAAATACCTTTCACGAGATTTTTACCTGAATGTATTTTAAAAGTAGACTAAAACACTATTCCTGATATGAAACAAACACATAAAATGTAAAAAAGGCTGTTTGCTGATTTTTATATAGGTGTCTCAAACTGTTCTACCTCATGTCTCTGCAAAGATGGATCAGCATAGTTCTTAACTGATGAGTTCTTAATCTTTCACGTACTTAAAAGGAGTGCACTGAGCAAATAAAAACTAAAAAAGAACAACAACAACAACAACAACAACAACAAAGAATAGGAACATAGTTGTAATCCAATGGTTGTTGCCAAATCC